CTTCATGAAATTGAATAGATCTCTGAAATAAGTTGCAAGGTGAGTGATTGGTTGTAAAAAAGGCATCGTTGAATTATTGGGATAGTAACGAATACCCAGTGATGTATCGTACTGATTACCAATGAGACGTGGGTTTGTCTTGCTTTGCATAGAGCTTAGTGTATTTAATTTTAGTCTGGGTAATAAAATTCACTAATGTACACTACATTTAGGCTTCTAAACGCGATATTGTTACAAGGTGGCTGTGTGGACCCTCCCTTGGCTAGCTCATTATGTTTTATTAAACGTCTACCTCTAAGCTCACAGATAATATTGTCCTGTTTCATAGTGTTTAGAAGTACTTGGTTTATTTATGCATTGATGAAGGTAAACAGGGTGTAGTTTAGTATTATCCAGCCCAGAGTGACCAGGCCAACGTGTTTCCTTGTGACAACAGATAAAGGTTAAAGAGTCAGATTAGATTCTTTCTTTTAAAGGTCTCTTGCACAATGAGTTAGGCAAAGACTAGTTTACAATGAATGTCGGCTCTTGTGATCCTACATAACAGCTTGCCCAGCATCATCTTTTAACTCTCTCCATTATAACCAGACGTGTAATGCAGGCTCATTTTGTCCCAATCAGTAAGTAGAAGAGGCAGCTAGGTTATATCTGTGTTCAAAGTGTAAGGGGTGGCTTTTAAACATATTTGTTTTATTTTGATGAGGGTAGCCTTGTATGGGCAACCGTGTCACTTTTCCTTTTACATAGGCAACTATTCTGAATATTGAAAAATAGGACAATTTGCGTCTGTCTTTCTGAATTTTGATGTAATGAAACTGAACAACCACCTGTAAAAGGTTTAATTAACCTACATTCCCAGAGCTTTTTTTTTTTGTCTGCGCTGTATAGCAGGAAAGGTGACAGGTGAAGGGCATCACATATCACATGTATGATTTGGTCATTGTTTTACAGGTATGAATGCAGGCCCACTCTGGACACCTATCACTTGCATATATAGATAGTCAGGACATGCAGAATATTAGGAATCAGTCATTAATCAAATAATTATCTGGCATGTTTACTGTATAATATAGGGGAGTCTGTGTAACTCTGCAATACTCCACACCTGGGCCACGGCTGTTATCTACATGAAAATCTACTTCTAAAATCCAAATGAGTCCCATGCTTACAAGTTATTTAGGAGACACTCCCCGAGAATAGACAAACATTAAAGGACCAATAATTTTTTGTTTATTATTAAAAGAAAAGATTATATGTATTGTTTGTTTAAAGCATGCCTATAAGTTCAGCAGACCCTCACAGCCGAGAAGCTGTTCTGTACAGTAGGCTTAGCTTAGGAAATCTAATGGAAGCTCTTAGCAGGAGCTCTGTGTCCAGGCAGTAACTGGTGCTCAGCAGACCACGGATAAGAAGAAAAAGTTTTAGCAAATGGTTTAACTACTTATATTTGTTCAAATAAAAAATAAACCACACACACACACAAGCTATACTACATGCAATCTTCTTTTTTCAATAATAAAAACATGACAACCGTTTTCCGTTAAGATC